ACTGGCACACCGGGTTCTAGTCCCGGTCGGGGTGCCGGATTCTGTCCTGGTTGCCCCTCTTCCAGGCCAGCTCATTGGAGGGTGAACCAACGGCAAAAAGACCTTTCTCTCTGTCTCTCTCTCTCACTGTCCACTCTGCCTGTCAAAAAAAAAAAAAAAAAAAGGCAAGATAGCCAGAACTTGAATTAGCATTCTGATATACATATCACAAGTAGAGGCTTGGGGCCCGTACAGTGGCACAGTGGGTTAACGCCCTGGCCTGAAGCGCCAGCATCCCATATGAGTGCTGGTTCAAGACTTGGCTGCTCTTTCCGATCCAGCTCTCTGCTATGGCCTAGGAAGGCAGTAGAAGATGGCCGGCAGATTAGCCTAGTGAGCCATGGCGCCGGCCGATAAATAAATCTTTAAAAAAAAAAAAAAAATGTAGAGGCTTAACTGGCTGCACCACAATGCATGCCTCAGATTTTTTCCTTTTCAGGATTGAATATTTCATTGTATGTACATAAAAATTTTATTTGAAAGGCAGAGCCACAGAGAGAGGAAGAGACAGAGACAGAAATTTTATCCACTGGTTCTCTGCGCAAATGATCTCAAAGGCTGGGCCTGGGCCAGGACGAAATGAAAAGCCTGGAACTCTAGCCAGGTCTCCCTGATGAGTGCACTGTGTTAATCAATCCATTCACTCACTTGGACACTTGGGTTGCCTTCACCTTTTGGCTACTGCTAATGCTATGAACATGAGCATGAGCATAGAAAAATATCTGAGATATTTGCCTTCCTTTTCCATGGCAAATATCTGACTGGACAATTCTGAGAGCATTTATTTCTGGGCATTCTATTCTATTTTATTTTATTCTAGTTCTAATTCTATTCAAGTCATCAGTTTTTATGCCAGTATCATACTGTTCTGCTTAGTGTGGCTTTGTAATGTTTTGATATCAGGGAATGTAAGTCTTTCACGTTTCTACAGTTGCTTTCGACTATTCTGTGGTCTTGAGATTGTATGAATTTTAGAGTGAAAAATGTTTGTTCCTGGAAGACAAAAACCATTGGAACTTAAAAGTTCATATCATTTATTTGAAAAGCACACAGAGATCTCCCATCTGCTATTTCACTTGCCAAATGCCTGCAACAGCTGAAGCTGGGCCGGGCTGAAGCCAGGAGCCAAGAACTCATTACAAGTCTTTCACATGAGTAGTAGAGATCTAGTTACTTGAGCCATCACCTGCTGTCCCCTAGGGTGCATATTAGCAGGAATCTAGCTAGAATCAAGACAGCTGGGACTTGAACCTGATGGTAGGTACTGATGTGGGCAAGCAGTATATTAATCCCTATGTTAAATGCTCAAGCCCAGATGTTGAAATTTTGGTAAGAAATGCATAAAATGGATTGCATTGGGAGCTGGCGCTGTGGCATAGTGGACTAAGCCTCTGCCTGCAGCACCGGCATTCCTTATGGGCGCTGATTTGAGTACCAGCTGTTCCTCTTCCGATCCAGCTCTCCACTATGTCCTGGGAAAGCAGTAGATGGCCCAAGTGCTTGGGCTCATGCACCTGCGTGGGAGACCCAGAAGAAACTCCTGGCTCCCGGCTTCCAAACGGCACAGCTCCGGCCATTGTGGCCACTTAGGGAGTAGACCAGCAGATGGAAGACCTCTCTGTGTCTCTCAAAATATTTTTAAAAAGTGGATTGCATTGGGTAGTATTGACACCTTAAGTGTTATCTATGAAAAGAGGATGTTTTATCTACTTCATTTGAAAGGCTGAGTGACAGAAAATCTGCCATCTGATGGTCCACTCCATAAACAACCACAACAGCCAGGGTTGACCCAGGCCCAGGGGAAGCCAGCAACTCACAATCTGCTGCCCCATTTGAGCATTAGCAGGTAGATGGATTGGAAATGGAGTAGCCAGGACTCCAATATGGGAAGCAGAAGTCCCAAGTAGTGGCTTAATTCAGTGTGCCACAATGCCCACCTCAGCATTTTTGTGATTCTTACTGTACAATTCTTATGTCCGTGGTTTTAGTTTATCCTAAATATTGTTTTCAACACAACTGTAAAAGTTTCCTTAAATCTTGGTATTGTGCATGCATAGAAATGCACTTTCTGTGTATTGCAGTTTGAGTCTGTGGGGCTTTTTTTTGACAGAGTGGATAGTGACAGAGTGAAAGGTCTTCCTTTTGCCGTTGGTTCACCCTCCAATGGCCGCCACGGCAGGCACGCTGTAGCTGGTGCACCGCGCTGATCCGATGGACTAGAACCTGGTGTGCCTTCGCCGCAAGGGGGAGGATTAGCCTATTGAGCCAGCAGGGGCTTAGTATTCTAGGTCATCAACAAACAGGTCTTGGTTCTTTCCAACTTTGATTCCTTTTTTCTTGCCTCAGCTAGGACTCCTAGTACTAATGTTGAGAAGTGATGAGACAGCATCCTTGCCTTAGTTTCAGTCGTTCACTTTTAAGGTCTCTGAAGGCTTTTTATACATGTAGAGCTCTTATTACATTGACAGTTTCCTTCTATTCCTAATTGTCACACTTGGTTTTGGTATCACACACATTTACTTGGTTTTGGTATCAGGGTAATGCTGGCCCAAAAGGGTGAATCCAGGTGTTCTCTCATCCTTAGTATGGAAGGGGATTAAGGAGGATTACTGTACATTTTGCTGGGTACAATTTAGTGAAGCCATCTAAACCTGAGCTTTTCTCTGTGGAAATGTTTGAATATTTGCAAGAGTCTGTCTTAAGTCTTTCTGTGTTTAATTCCTACAGGTTCCTCCTGCCAACAAGCAAATCAGATTTTTTTTAAACACTTCAGATGTTTTGTTTTATTATGAAATTTGGTTTTATTATGAAAATGTTTCACAACATACAAATCAAACCCTCATCCATCATCCAGCATTGGGAACATATCAAAAAAATATTGCATCTAGCATTTCTAGTTTGAAGTAGAAAAGTTTCTTATGTTTGCTCAATCCCCCATTCTAGTGCATTTTGCTTTTATACTTGCAGTTTGCTCTCCTAGCTCCCCTGCCAGACACGTTACATTCTTTTGCCAGTGTAAACATTGCTTTAAATCTCCTAAACAAGCATATTTATAAAATACATTCCTAGAACTGCTGTATCAGAGGTATATGTATTTACCACTGATACGTTACTATGTTTCTTAGAAGCCATTTTACCAATTTTTACCTCTACCAACTTTTGTGCTATAATGACCTTTCTGTACAACTTAATACTTTCAACTTTGAAATTAGTACTTCTAATTCTGAATATACATTAGATTTTAGGCAACTTGTTAACACCTAATAATTAAAGACTTAGATAATACTGATTATAATAAACAAAAAGCCTAGTTTATATAGGCAGGCATTTGAAAGCCTAGTAGGTAAAATTTCACCTGTTAGGCTAATGCCACCTTTCAATAACACATCATTAATAAAACTTTTTGGGTTTGGCTTGAGGTCGTCCCATTTTTTTTTCCATTTCTCTTTTCAACTTGCTTGCATTGTATCTCTCAGCCATTGCAACAAGCTCCTCTGGGATATTCTGAAATAAAAATGTTATTAGGATTCTGAGTTTATTTTCTATAATATGCTAAAAAATCCCTCCCAATCATCTCACCCCAAATCATGTTAGGCCTTCAACTGCTTCCCAGAGCCTTAAACATGACTTCTCATACCATTTTCCACATATTCTTACCTCTGAGCCTGCTCACCTATTACCCTGGCTTACCTTATTCCCAACCCTTCCATACTTACAACCATTGTTTTTATTCTCAACAGAACTTGCATACCCACATTACATTAGGTTCCCCAATTAGATGGTCCCCTAGCACCTTCTCTTTGCCATGCCATAACTCTCATACCAAGCTTAAAAATTTGTTGGCTATTTCTGACAAGCAGTAAGCACTAGTACCTTTTATAATATACTACTGGAAACTGCACATGTGACAAGGAGATGGATTTGCATGCTCACCTGATTTGCTCTTTCCAGGATATGAATCAGTTCAGCAGCAACCCTCCAATCATTTCTCGTGATGAGGGTGATTGATACCCCTGTGTTTCTTCAGGGTGGGATGGGGGAGAAAATTCATGCTTATTTCACTTTATTCACTTTATTTGTAATGTACATTTACAATTAAGCTAACATTTGAATAAGACACAGGAAAACCAACTTTCTCAAGTCCAAATATGGAGTATACGTTAAGATTTTAGCTCACAAAACAGCAATTTGGAGCCTATATGGTCATCCCTCAGAATCAGTGGGGGATTGACTCCAGGCAACTTTCCCTCAAAATTCCAAAGGATCCTCAAGTCCTTTAGATGCAGAACCCATAAAGAAGCCTAACTATAATCTGCATTTGCTAAGCCAGCATAAGCAGGAGTGATGGTAGTGTTCCCATCCTCTTTCATAACCATGCCAAACTGTGCAATCTAAACATACAGATTAAGCTCTCAGCGCTGTGAAATACACAAGTAGCATTAGAAGCAGTTACAAGAAGTTAATCATGTCAGGATCTGGTTGAATCAGGAGCTAACCAAACAGGATCCAGAGAGCAGCAGAACTTACCTGCAGAACAAAATACATTTCTGGGTACAAACAGACTGAGGGGAGTGAACAAGAATCCAGGAACTGACCCCTTTCAAGAATAGAACATGCTTGCTTACCCTGCTCTTCCAGTACGTCCTACTCTGTGTACATATTCTTCAATATTCCTCGGAAAGTCGTAATTATAGACATGAGTGATATCATGGACATCCAATCCACGTGATGCTAAATCAGTAGCAATTAATATCCTCACTTTACCTAATGAGTAAAGTAAAATGAATTATTCTGACATGACTAAACTAAGACACGAAGAGTATTTGTCCTTTTCATCGTTGCTGACTTGAAAATGTTTTTCGTAGGGATATACTTAACAGCTACAAGTTACAAAGCATACTAAGCTTAGTAAATGGCTGCTGAACCATGTCATAAAGAGAATTTACTTAAAATATAATCTCCTATGCAAATTTTCATCTTGATAGTCAAGTGAGCATTTAGTGTTCTGGGAATTGTCAGTTGGTTCTTAAGTGAGAATATGAGGACGTATGTTAGGTATGGGCACCATGAAAAGATGCTGCCATTTAGCCAAGCCCAGTTCCTGGACCTATTCTGTTACTGCAATGATTACAAGTTATATTAATGTACCTGTTTTAAAGTTCTTTAACGCTTTCTCCCGATCACTTTGTTCTCTATTGCCATGCAGCGACTCTACTGATAAATGTTGGAGGACTAGGTCACTTGACAAATGATCAGCCCTGAAATAAAAGATGGAGTTGGTGATCTTATGTGATTATTCTAACACCAGCAATCCACCAGTTATTCAGCAAAAATCTGAGTTATGGACACATCACTATTAGCTGCGATTAGTATACAAATGGAAATCGTCATGATTAAACCAAAGTTCAAGAAAATACTTACACAATTTTTCTACTAACAAATACTATGACTTTGTCCTTCGGTGACATATTTTCCAGGAATTTTTGTATATGTATTCGTTTCTCTTCTTCTGTGGTAATGATTATATTTTGTTTTACTGTACTTACAGCCTAAAGGATACAGTACATGATTAGAGGCAGCATATAACGCCAAATAAACTTTTCAGATTACTAACAGTCACAGATTATCATAGCAAAATTAACTGTCTCTACTCAAGGTTTATACCTAAGCCATTTACCTTCATTCAAACACCCAAAATGTGACAACATTTGAATCCTTGAAAATGTGCTAAAAGTAACTGGTTCCTACTGTAGCAGTAATGAGTGAGACCAAATACAACTGAAACCATTTGGACTCAAAAAAATTTGTCTCTTTAGATAAGATTTTAGTAACACGAGAAATAATCCTTTACACAGCCTTTCCTGAATGATCATTTTTAAAAAATCACAATGTAATGAAACTGATTCTAAGATCTATAATAAATAATTAAAAGAAAAGCCAATTTCATTTACTAATGATGAATGGGCCAGAGAATTTTATAATGGAGGAGTCTGATATTTGAATCCAATGATTCATCCTAACTTAGGAACACCAAATTTCAGTACATATATGCAGACTTATGTTTAGACACTGATAATAACAGGGCTAATAAAAATGATTTATCAAGGAAGTGCAAACACTGACCAGATAGTTGATGGTTCTTGGAATTATGAAAAATTTAAATGGAATAACAGTAGTCAGGCTAACATGAATGGGATTTGCTGGGGAGTAGACAATATACCAAAATCAGCTATGTTCTCAAAATTTCCCTAATTTAATTTTTAAACTTTTCTAAAAATTAGTTTAATATTCCATAGTTTGTGGATTTAATAATAAAAACATGCTTACCACTAGATCCAAAGTTCCAACATACACAAGCATTGGTTCTTTCAAGTATGACTGTGCAAGCCTACGCACACCATAGGGCCAGGTTGCACTGCAAATAATGATACAACATTAACATTATTAAATCTCTTTAAGCATAGGAACCAATTCAATCATGGGAAATAAATAATTCAAATATTTATTTTGCCAAATACAAGTGTATCCTTTTCAATGTATATATATATATATATATGTATATATATGTATATATTTGAATGTTCTCCTCATAAAATTCATAAATCAAAGTGAAGCCGGCGCCGGCTCAATAGGCTAATCCTCCCCCTTGTGGCCCTGGCACACCGGGTTCTAGTCCCAGTAGGGGCACCGGATTCTGTCCCGGTTGCCCCTCTTCCAGGCCAGCTCTCTGCTGTGGCCAGGGAATACAGTGGAGGATGGCCCAAGTGCTTGGGCCCTGCACCCCATGGGAGACCAGGAGGAAGCACCTGGCTCCTGCCATCGGATCTCTACCTCTGCCTCTGCCTTCAAATAAATAAATCTTTTGAAAATGCATTCTATAATACAAGACAGGTATTCACTTATTCAAATGTTAGACCATAAGTAAATGCTTCTACAGAAATCTAAAACCTACGAAATCCAATAGTCAAAATAAAGCAGTCAGTCACACTTTCAAGTCATTCTCTAAAATACCACAATAATCTATCAGCCCGGGGTTCTAGGTTATATTGCAATCAGTAATTAGGCACACCTACCTTGTCATAATTGTTTGCCTATCTGGTCGAACGTCTAATAAAATCTTCATTATCTGGGGTTCAAATCCCATATCCAACATTTTATCAGCTTCATCTAAAACCTGCATTAATAATGAAGAATGTCCACTGGATTAGAATTTGGGAGATAATAAATGTAATATCCATCTCCCATATTATCTAAGCCACCATTTCTCTCCAGGTAAAAACAATGAACCTGTGGCTTGCTCTGTGGCGTAGCAGGTAAAGCCACTGCCTGCAGTGCCAGCATCCCATATGGGCACTGGTTCAAGTTCCAGCTGCTCCCCTTCTGATCTGGCTCTCTATTGCCTGGAATGCAGATGGCTCAAGTGTTTGGGCCCCTGTACCCGTGTGGGAGACCTGGAAGAAGCTCCTGGCTCTTGCCTTCTGGCTTCGGATTGCCTCAGCTCTGGCCATTGCGACCAACTGGAGAGTGAACCAATGGATGGGAGATCTCTTTCTGCCTCTTCTACTCTTGTGTTTAACTCTGACTTTCAAATCAATAAATAAATCTTTAAGAAAAATGAACCTATAGTTACAAGAAACACTGATGTTTTAGTTGGCTTTCCAATTGCCTCTAAATGTATTTAAAGAAAAAATTTGTCTAAAATATCTTTTATTCTTTATTTTATTCTTTATTAATCTTTATTCTAACAATACTCCTAGAATCTAACACCATTAGACAGTCCTTTTCCTCCCAGCATTCCAACCCTCTATTACCAAGTAGGTGACACTCTTGAGTCTAATGAAGTTATTCATCTGTAGATCATTTAACCTTCCAGGGGTTGCGATTACGATGTCGACACCTTTTGAAACATCTTGTATTTGTGCTTCTCGATCTCCACCACCATATATACAAACACTTTAAAGAAAATTCAGAGGTTCAGACAAAGTCTATCATATCACAACTCAATCCCAATTTACCTAAGCACTGGGTTTTATAATAAAAGGTCTGAGAATTAAAAAATTAAGGTTCCTACTGAGTTATTTTCCCTTTTTTGAGAAGGGCCCATGCTCGTGTATTGTATCTTAAGGAGACACGTTTTTTGGTCCATTACCTGACCAATTTTTTTCCTTATGGTTTACTGGCCCAAGGATGGGGAAAATCTATCCTCTGTTCAGATTCAGTAAATGTATATAATATAATAATAAAATAATGGGGAGGTTGTTTAAACAAGTGATTTGAAAATACTTGTGTAGGAGGGTGGGCATTGTGGCGTAGTGGGTAAAGCTGCTGCCTGGGTTGCTGGCATCCCATGAGTGCCAGTTCATGTCCAGGCTGCTCCACTTCCAGCTCCCTGCTAATGGCCTGGGAAAAGCAGCAGAAGGTGGTCCAAGTGTTTGGGCCCCTGCCACCCACATGGGAGACCCAGATGAAGCTCCTGGCTTTATCCTTGGTCCCGCCTTCACTCTTGGGACCATCCGTAGAATGAACCAGCAGATGGAAGATCCTTGTTTCTCCCTCTCTCTGTAACTGAGTTTCAAGTAAATATTTAAAATTTTTTAATACTCGTGTGGGAATGGTCAAAGAAATGACTTACCTTCTAAGATTTTTGTATGAATACTTAGAACATTCGGCCTGCACCTGCAGAGCCAACTCCCGAGTGGGTGTAAGGACTAACATGCCGGGGCCATTCCTTTTCTCCCTGCCACTTTGGAGAGAATAATGTTCGTGTTAAATGAGTTGTCTCTGATGCATGGTATATCCATTCAGCACTCAAGGACTCAAGGTGAGAATTTCCAAGGACGATAGACTAATCATGAATGACACATCTTTCAAGAGCCAATGGGCAGAAATGCCAAACCTAAGAAAATTTCTTACTGAGTTCTAAGCATTTACAAAAATGCATATCTATAATAAACATGGAAAGATCCAGAAAAGTCACACACTATCCAAATGTCTGCCTTTTCATTAACATCGATAATTTTTTAAATTTTTTTTGACAGGTAGAGTGGACAGTGAGAGAGACAGAGAAAGGTCTTCCTTTGTTGTTGGCTCACCCTCCAATGGCCGCCACGGCTGGCGTGCTGCGGCCAGCGCACCGCGCTGATCCGATGGCAGGAGCCAGGTAGTTATCCTGGTCTCCCATGGGGTGCAGGGCCCAAGCACTTGGGCCATCCTCCACTGTACTCCCGGGACACAGCAGAGAGCTGGCCTGGAAGAGGAGCAACAGGGACAGAATCTGGCACCCCGACTGGGACTAGAACCTGGTGTGCTGGTGCCGCAAGGCGGAGGATTAGCCTAGTGAGCCGCGGCGCCAGCCAATAATTTTTTTTCACACTGATGAGTAAACTATATTAGATATGATCATTTAAACAATGACACTCAGGGGCCAGCGCTCTGGCGCTGTGGGTTAAAAGCCGTGGCCTGCAGTGCTGGCATCCCATATGGGCACCAGAGACCCAGCTGCTCCACTTCTGATCCAGCTCTCTGCTATGGCCTGGGAAAGCAGAAGATGGCCCAAGTCCTTGGGCCCCTGCACAGGAGACCTTGAGGAAGCTCCTAGCTTTGGGAGTGAACAGAGGAAGGAAGACCTATCTTTGTGCCTCTCCTCTCTTCACTCTACCCTTCAAATAAATAAATCTTTAAACCTATAAAGAGAACCCAACCACAGGAAATCTTACACTGGTTGACAGTCTAGATGAATAAATCCAGGCATCAAATATGACAGTGTTTTCCCGGTTCCCGTTTGGGCTACTCCTATCACATCTATTCCTTGTAGAACTATCGGCCACGTTTGAGACTGAAAAAGAAAGAAAAACATTAAAGATTGTTTTGCCATCTTTCTGTCCCTCCTCTCTAAACTCAACAGGTTAAGGACTTTGTGGACTCAAAAGGCTTACATAGCCTTGTCAGCTCTTGTCAAGAGCCTCAGGTGGTCACTGACATCACTGCACTTACTCCCCATGTAGGACCTCTCTCCTTAATCAGTCGTACAATGAGAATTAACGGTAAAACTAGTCTTCAACAGTACTTTATACTTTGTGGGTCTATGTCGGTAAAAATAATTGAAATCTCTACTACGTATATAGTTGGTCTTCTGTATAAAGTCAATTAAAAATGAATCTTAATGAAAAATGGGATGAGAGAGGAAGTAGGAATTGGATGGGAGTGGGGGGTGGGAGGATGGTAATGGGGGGGAAGAAATGCTGTATTCTTAAAAGCTGTACATATGAAATTTGCCTTCATTAAATAAAAACCTTTAAAAATATAGAATTAAATAGAGCCTACCTGAATTGGCGTTGGCTTTTTAAAACCTGCCTTTTCAATATTTTTCATTACTTCAGGAAAAGTTTCAAAGGCATCTTCAAATGAACAGGTAGGATTCGGTACAGGACGTTTTTCACCTTCTTTCAGATCATCGCACATTACATTAAAATTTTCCTTCCTTTACAGAAAACAGAACCCGATTGAATGGTTTTGCATACTTTACTCAAAAAGGTTCCCAGTTCAGATCAAGTATAGGACTCTGCAACTGGTTAAAATCAGATAAAATTACGTAACATGAAACAGACTAAGTGGAAAAAATAGTTGTAGAGGACAGGGAAAATTAATTTTAGTTAGATAAGTGGTCTAATGAGTTTCATGAATGATTATGGAAAATTTAACCTAAAAATTCTAATTCAAAATTTATAATCAGACTTGGCAAAACTAGTAAGTATATTGTTCCATGAATATTTTTCTTAATTGTTCCTCACCAACCCAGTGGTGCCAAGAATTAGTCTCATTTGACAGGTAATCATAAGACAGGTTACTTGCCCAAGGACTGAGCCATACTAAGTATCTTATTTCATGCTATATCAGACTTAACAGTAAAAAGAAGGTTTATTAGATAACAAGTGGAACTGAAGCATTTGCTATTTCTGGTACAGATAATTTCTTCAGTTTTCAATTACTGGAGAATTAACAATGAGAAATGCCAGCTTTTACAGTACATTTCTAAGTAGCGTTATATTCTAAAATGTATAGTAATGCATAAAACAGTAAAAGTACTATGTTCTATACTTTAATGGGCTCCACAATAGGTTTCTCACCAGCATCAATCTCATGTGTAATGGATGTTATGGCTAATGTTACTAAGAAACATGAATTTTTCAGCTCCATTTTAATCTTCTGTGACCACTGGCAAATGTGGTCCATCACTGACCAACACTTTGTGGTTCCTGATTATATTCAGTTTGTTATACTAGCCATATTTATGTGCTAACTGCCAAAATTGTTGACTACTCTGCCTAAACAGGCCACTCTACATCAATACTAAATGTTTTATTACTTTAGCAATGCTTTAAAAATATCATGTGGGATGCAAGTCCTCATTTGAATAAACATGGAAGGTACAGACTTTAAATGACATTTCAAATCTTTGCCTGAAGAGCTACTAAAATTTAAATCGTTATTTTTATTATCTACCATAAATACATATACTTAATATACTAAAGTTGAAGAAATAGAAACCACCCACCTCCATGTGTCTATCTCTTCTTGTGTCATCGATCTTGTTTTTTCGGATTCTACATAAAAGTTTTTCTTAATCGGAAGTAAATCTGGGACAAAGGTGAAAATTACTTTAGCAGGAATTTACATTGTTAATGAAAGTGACAAGCCAAACTGAAATTAAGTTCACCATGCATTCAATTTTAGACAGTTTGCCACCCAGGTTTGTCGATCTAAGAGAACTCCTAGTTCTCTCAGAAAGACAAACTAAGTTTGTCCCATTCCCCAAATGGGACTAGGCCATGCTTTCTAAGACAAATTTGCAACTGACAAATATACTCAGATACATACCTTTCCTTTGAATGTCTGTCCCACTAAGAAATTTAACTTAAATCCTTACTCTCTAAAGCTTAAGTTTTTCAAATGCCTATTATTCCCTTTTCAAACTTCAATCTTTTCCCTATCCCCATATCAAGTCTTCCATCACATATATTGTCAAGGTGTCACTGGAAAGTTACAGGCAGAGGCTAATTAACAGTAGCAATAATATCCATTAATATTTTGGCTATATTGTATCAATTCCTTAGTTTTTAAAATTTAAATAGAAGATGTTCTATTTCTGCCTCATTCTAGCAGCTAAGATTTTTCTACCAAATTACTGTGAAATACTGTCCTTCATAATATCCTGTGAGAAATTTTATTTGGAATTCAAACACACACACACAAAAGCCATCAAGAATGATTATGCTTCTTATGATTTACTGTCTTGTTTGCCTTCATTGGCCAGAATATTCCAGGATCAATTTTTGCTCAATCACAGAAAAAATGCAGACTTAAAATTTTGCAAGTTTACTCCTTCCACATTCTCCCCAGGGCCTGATGTAGCTTTTTTTAATCTTTAGTCAGACTTTAAGAGCAGGGAGACAGAGATCTTCCGTCTTCTGGTTTACTCCCCAAATGGGACTAAGCCAGGCAGAAGCCAAGAGCTGGGACATTTAGCAGGAAGCTGGATGGGAAGCAGAGCATCCAGGACATGAACTGGTACCCACATGGGATGCCAGAGTCACTATGCCAAAGTCAGCTGCTATGAACTTTTTGCAGCCAGTTATACCTCCAGGCATAGTACAGCGCTTAATATTCATCATAGAAGCTATCATTCCTAGTGGACTAATTACAGAATTGTCATTTTTCATCTTATCACAAAAAATTAGGTAGACTTTACAGGATAAAAAACTGCAGTCAATAGAAACACATGTGTTAGGATGCACACTGACCTTCCCACTTCTTTTTCTCCCATCTCACAGCCTCCTCTCGAATTTGATCCCAGTCTATCAACGGCCGATCTTTAACACCATTGGCATCTGTGCTTACCTCTCTTCCAGAGGGTTGGAAGGCCTCAATATCTGTTTAAAGTATTTTTACCAAATGATTTATACAATAAATCCTGCCACTGTAAAAATCCAAAAACTACTTTTCTATTATAACCTGATAATGCTTGAAATGTAAAATTTGGTGTTTTCTTAAAACAGTACCACTGGAGGAGGAAAATACCGAGTCTAATGCATGCCTAAACTGTCACACACCATCTGCTGGGAGGCAGCGCTCATCACAGATGAAAACATGAAGCCTCAGAGGTTAGATTCCTTTCCATGAAACACCTATTGGCACACCAAGTTGCTTAAATCAACTTCGTTTTTACTTGTATGCTTCACTCCAAAATGGCTTTTTCTCTAATTGGTCTAAATTGATCGGAGACTTAAAAATACCAAGTCATTGAGGAGTTATTGTCATTTCTTGATCTAGGGAAGACAAAAGTCAGGAAGACAGGATAGCTTTACATAATCACTGTAACCTGAGCAGATTAAAGGCTCTTTTTAATCTTACTTTCCTGTTGGTAAACGTGAAATTCTGCCTTATTCATAACAGTTATCATTTGAGGAAAAACTGTTCTGGCCTCCAAGGAACAAAAATCACTAAGCTTATATCTAAGGTTTGGTACCAGGAAAGGAACCAGATGATGGCTTATAATATTGAAAAAAATATTAAAAACTCAATAGTCTTCAGTGGGCAAAAAATTACTTACCACTTTTGCGACTCAGATTGTAATTTTCTTGTTTTTTAACAAAGTCATCTATTACCGCTTTTGCTTTTGTCTGCATCGTCTTGCTGCCAAAAATTTTTACTTCCGAGTTAGGTGTTCCTTTTATTATCTAGATACAAAGGGAAGAACAGTTGAGTCTGAAGTGCACTTGCCCTTAAGGATCATTCAATTGCAAATATTATGACAGTATGTTGCAAATGAATCATTCCTGTCCTCCATCATTTCTGATGACAGGAAAGATATTTCTATCCACATAGAAATTTACTTTCTGGTTTGGTAGGGAGGAGCAGGACAACCTGTAAATTAAGAAACAGCTTGGGAATTCAGCAGTATTATAGGGAAATTACTCTGACATTTGACATTACTTAGCCTGAGTTCTCTTACCCATGAAGTGGTGTTATTTGCTTGGCTAATCTTACAGGATTATAGGGCTAGAGTGGGTTCATCCATGATACATATCAAGGTTACTTACCTAAATTTTTAACTTGCTGGGATTCTATATCTATACTTCTAAACTGTTATGGAGGTTAAGGATTCAAAGCTGACCGCAAAACTTTGATATCCTTGTTGATTCACTATTTACCTACAAGTGGTTCAATGCTTATCAGTCTCAGGGCTTACAGACACCCTATTCCAGCCAGGGCTAGCTCAGGCCAAAGCCAGGAGCTTGGAATCCCATCAGGGTCTCCCACATGGGAGTGGACCAGAGGATGGAATTACTATTTCTCTGATGACTTAAAAATTAAGAACACAGATGACTTACCTGTATTTTAGTGTTTGTTCTACTTTGTATCTCTTTTATTTTTGATCCACCACGACCTATTACACAAAGAAATATGACATTAATAGAGAATTTTAGTTCATTTCTCAAAAAAACCTTCGTGTCTTCCACAAACTATTCAAAGAAAGACTCCTAAGGCCCAGGAATCACATTCTCTTTGGAAAAAGCAAAGCAAGAGGTTTCTGGTTTGGTGGGGAGGAGCAGGACAACCTGTAAATTAAACAGCTTGGGAATTCAGCAGTGTTAAAGGGAAATTACTGACATTTGATACCACTTGGATCCTGAGTTCTCTTACCCATGAAGTGGTGTTAGGAGGATCTGTGGGTGGTAGAAGTGGGAACAAGTTCACTAACAGCATGCACAAAAACTGAATCCCAACCCTAGCAACAATGTGGAAAAACTGAAGCCCTTGTATAGTTGGGGCTGGAAAATGGTACAGTTATGGAAAACAATTTTCAGGTTCCTTGAAAATTAAAAATACAAAGGTACAAAGGCAGGTGTCGAGACAGTGGGTTAAGTTGCCACTTGGGATATCTACATCCCATTTGGGTATGAAGGCTAAGTCCCAGCTACGTAGCTTTTGAGTAGATGGCTCAAGTTCTTGGCACTGACGTGGAAGACCAAGATGGAGTGTTTGATACTGGGCCTCAGCCTGGCTCAGCCATGGAGGTTGCAGGCATTCAGATGGAAGCCCTTTCTATATCTCTGCCTTTCAAATCTTTTTTAAAAGTTTCCTTTATTTGAAAAGTAGAGTTACAAAGAAGCAGAGGCAGAGGGACAGTAATCTTTCATCTGCTAGTCACTCCTCAAATGGCTTTAATGGCTGGAGCTGGGGGCTCCAAAGCCAGGAGCCTGGAGCTTCTTCCGGGTCTCCGGCACCCTATGGCATGGCAGTGCTGCAGGCGGCAGCTTTACCCGCTATGTCACAGCGCTGGCCCCAAATATATCCTTTTTTAAAATGTAAAGGGGCTGCTGCCATGGCGCAGTAGGTTAATCCTCTGCCTGCGGTTCAGCATCCCATATGGTCACCGTTTCTAGTTCTGGCTGCTCCTCTTCCAATCCAGCTCTCTCCTATGGCCTGGGAAAGCAGTGGAAGATGGCCCAAGTTCTTGGGCCCCTACACCCGCTTGGGAGACCCGTAGGAAGCTCCTGGCTTCGGATCGGCACAGCTCCAACCATTGCGGCCATTTGGAGAAATGAACCAACAGTCCGAAGACCTTTCTCTGTTTCTCCCTCTCACTGTAACTCTCTCTCTCAAATAAATAAAATCTTTTTAAAAAAATAAAATGTAAAAACAAAACTACCATTTGATCCATCCCTGGGAATATACATCCTGAGAACTGAAAACCCCCCTTGTTCCAAGCTGCAAAATTCACAATGATCAAGAGTTGAGAAACTGAGGTGGCCAGCAAGGGATAAATGGACTAACAAAATAACAAATATACATAACAAGGGACAGGCATCTGCCCTTTAAAAGGAAATCCTATCACAGGACACAGAAGGGATAAGCATTCATCTTGTGAGATAAGGCAAGCTAAAATAGCCAATCACACACACAAAAGACAATCACTGCATTATAGTAGTATCTAAGGTAATCGAGAATTTTCTTGCAAACCTAGTGGTTTTTTCTTTGGAGCACAGCTGACAGTCTCCCGAGCAGCCACCAATGGGCCCTGTGCCGCACTACTAAATAGATCCACAAAATCTGTTCATCTTCTCAGAACCAGTTTAAAAAGTACAATGCTAAAAAACTCAATTCTAGTTATCCCAATTATTCCAGTCATTTGAAAATGATTCTCAAAAAAATCTAAAATGAATGTTAAGACTCAACATGTACTTAAAAATCACTTTTCAGCAGACAAGGTATCTCAGCAAAGCTAGAGAAACGAAAGAGTTAAGGCTGATCCTCTGGGTAGCCGTGCCATATCCTACATGTTTTCTTTGATTAACAGTTCTAAATTGTACTCATCCAAAGACGATTTCAGTTTTTGTTCATTTTTGATGCTGTCAAAGACCTGTCCCCTTCAGCCTCCCTCGACATCCCAATGATCTCTAGAAGTTTATCTCCCAAAAACATCTACATAAACTATCCGGTTTGCATGAAATGGCATTGTACCACCTGAAAGTCTTCGAGATAGCGGAGAGCAGGCTCTCATTACCGGAGAGCCGACGGGAGGTGAAGCGGACGCGGAGGGCGCGCCACTGCCCGGGCCCGCCCCGCCCCCCACCGACCTCCTCCCCAGGCCCAGCGCACCGCAACCATTCCCCCGCTCTTACCGATGACTGCGCCGACCAACTCGCTCTTCAAGTCGAAACAGAGAGGCGATTCCCTGCGACTACCGACCACGATGTCGCGTCCGGAGGGCTCGCTCCAGGAACCTCCTCTGCCGCCCCTGTTACCTCCCTGACCTCTTCGCCCGGGTTGCTCCGACGGCCTCTGCCCCGCAGCTCGAGGCGCAGCCGACCCTCGCCGGGCAGCAACGACCCAAGCGGAGGCGTTAGGTCCTCCGCCTTGCGTAGACATCCTAAAAAAGTTCCGGCGCTTCCGACGTCGCTCCCGTCCGGCAGTGCACCGCGCGACTGCGGCGTCCGAGAATTCCCTGTGCCCGGGCATCCACGCAGCCGCCTTTTAAGGACCTCCCCATGACAGTCCCGCCCCCGCCCCCGCCCCCGGTCCGCCCTACTCGAGCCATTGGCTGGCGAGCATTGTGGGCCGGGCCTCTCCACCCCCCCCCCCGGGCCAACCCCCTCCCTTGATCGTGGGAGCGCGCCTTGAATGAATCATGCGCCAACAGTATGTTACTTTTAGGCGTGGGACTTCTGCGCGGCTCCCACGTTACCCCCTGCGACTTATTAAACAGCACCTCCGGGAATGCACCTCTCAGCGCCTCGAAAACATTTCTAAGCGTACCTCACAAGTCGGAGTCCCTTACGAAACGACCCAATTCACACGTTTAAAACTTGGAATCAAAAGGTTGAGGAAACAGTATTTAATCTTGCCACAGGAGCAGCATTTAGATGTGTTTACGTCGATTTTAGGTTTTAAAATGGTCAGAACCTACTAAATAATTCACTGGGTTGAGAGAGACTTTTGGACCCTTCACAAGCCACCACTTGAAGTTCATGTTATAGTTTTCAAGCTCAGGAAAGATATTGAATAAATGCCTGAACCAGTCCCATAACTGTGGCCACGCGTCTCTGGGCTGTAAGCCAAGTGGGAATGCCCTTGCTTTGACTACGATTTTTGGATTGTCTGAATCAATGTCTGTACAATTATCCACTAACCATCAAAGTGGTCACACCACTGTAATGATAGGCACTAAGATCAGTGCCAGGGAATGAAAATGCGTACAAGACTTGATCCATCCAAGATCGAGTGGCCTAACTCACACCCAATAGATTATAACTCTTAATCATGCAATCATATCTGGAGAAATATGAATAAAATAGTATTGGGGCACATAGGAAATATATAAAAACATCAAATACATGTTATGCATTTAATCTCTAATAGCTAATCCTTGATCTGAGCTAGATATTATCAGCAATTTTTTTGAAAAAAAAGTTGTTGGATTAGATTTGCTAATACTGTTTGAGGATCTTTCTATCTGTGTTCATGGGAGATACTGATTTTTTTTTTCCTGTAATGTCTCTGTATGGTTTTGGTATTAGGGTAAGATTGACCATACAGAATCTCTTCCAGAAAATGGAAGCAAAATATTTCCTAACACGTTGCATGAGACCAAAATCACCAGATAGTGAACTCTAATGTAAGCTACCGGCTCTCAGTGATAAAGATGATCCATTTTAAGACAGGGACCCTCTGCACGGGATGGATGTACGTTTGAGGAAAGGCAGAGGACTAAATGGTACATTGCTAAACTTTTGGCTCAATTTGTGCTGTGAACCTAAAATTGCTCTAAAAATAGTTCTCTAAAAAGAAAGTTTGTGCCTGTCCGGTTTTCCAGTTTTTGTTTCTTATTAATCCAGTCAGCTAATTCTTAGTGGTTGTGCCACTGATTTAACACATTGATACTGTTTTTCTCCAAAGGGGTGGTGGTGAGAAAAGGTTGTTTGTTTTTTTTTTTTATTATTTGTTTGTTTATTTGAAAGAGTTTACACAGAGGGAGGAAGAGACAGAGAGAGAGCGAGTTCTTCCATCCTCCGGTTCTCCCCAAAAATATTCCCAGTGGCCAAGGCTGGGATCCGAAGCCAGGAGCCAGGAGCTTCTTTCGGTCTCCCACATGGGTGCAGGAGCCCAAGGGCTTGGGCCAATTTCCACTGCTTTCCCAGGCCATTAGCAGGGAGCTGGATCGGAAGGGGACACTGGGTCTCCAACTGGTGCCCGAATGGGATGCCAATGTCACAGGCAGCAGTTTTACCCACTTTGCCACAACGCCGGGAGGAGGGAAGGTAACAAGAATCCTCACACTGTTCTGCAGTATACACTTTCCAAGCCAGATGCATTTCCCCCTTAGATTTGTGACACGAAGACATTTGCAATAAAAGCCAGTGGCATCTTATCCTAGATCCCAACTTGTAGTGGCGCTTAGAAAGGTATTCGCTAAACGAGTAGAAAAATGATAGGACTTCAAGGCCAGGGGATCCGATCCTACCCCTTTGCTTTCCACCTCCAGGCATCAAAAAAGATAAAAAGATTAAAAGGCAAAAAAGGGTGGAAAGATTAAAAAGTCACGCCCGGTTTGGAAGTTCTAGGGTCCCTCGGGTCAGCGCTAGATTTGTGCAGACCGAAAGGCGCGGTTGCTTCGGGCGTGAGGGCGGGAATTTCGCCGTTTGTGCTCCACTTTGCGGGCCTCTCCTGCTGCGGGCGGTTTCCTCTAATCCTCTCTGTTCTTGGAAAACCAGCCTTCTCCGCGCTACTGCCCTCAGGGCCGCCTGGCCTCCGAAGTACGACCTCCGCCTGCGGCTAGGGAGTTCGCTGCGCTCCGCTGAAGCCGGACCGCACCCTCAAGGAGCCACGTTCCCACGGCCCCCGTGGGTCTCGGGGCAGCCAGAATTCAGGCAGACACCAGCGGGAACTCTGATTTTGGAAAACTACACTCCACAGGGTTTCACTTAGCACCCGGTCACGGGAGGCTGGCACTCTAATTTTGCTGAGCACCTACAACCAAGCCACTTGGTTCCAGAAGACTTATGTGGGATTAAGGGGGTGGTGAGGATTCCCTTGTCACAGGTGAAAGGAAGCCTGGCCCTTGGGAACCGTGGTGGTGCGTGGAACGAAGCCCGGGTTTTGTGCTGGCAGCGCTTCCAGAAGGAAGAGGATTTCCTTTTAAAAAAAATTATTTTATTTATTTAAAGACAGAGTTACAGAAAGAGGTAGAGATGGAGAGAGACAGGTCTTCCATTCACTCCCCAGATGGCTGTAAGGGTTGGAGCTGGGTCTCCCACATGGGTGTGGGAGCCCAAGGACTTGGGCCATCTGCTGCTTTCCCAGGCACATTAGCAGGGAGCTGGATCAGAAATGGAGCAGCCGGGACTTGAACCAAATGGGATGGTGGCGCTGCAGGCTGGGGCTTTAACCCCATGCACCACAGCACTGGCCCCAGAAGGAAGAGGATTTCAGTCTGGAGAAGTCGCTATTCCCTTTTCAAGAAAAATGTTCTCCCTGGCTTAAGATAGCTAACTTTGTAGCTTTAAGATGATGGAATTAGTATACGCTCATCAAGTACTGTTTGCAACATTCATTTCAAGTTTATTTCCTAGGCAAATGGCTGAGATTATACGGTATGTTCAATTTTGCATTCTGCCTTATCCCTGTAGGTTTCACAAAATAACCATTTCCCAGTGGAAGGCACTTGGCAGAGTGTTTGTCTGCATTCCATATTGGAGTGTCTGGATTTGAATCCTGCTAATGCGCACCCTCAGAGGGAGCAGATTACTTGGGCCCCTGCCACCCACTTGGGAGACCTGGCTTGGTGCATCAGCTGTTGTGAACATTTCGGAAGTGAACCAGTAAGGAAGATTCTCTCTCTCTCTCTCTCTCTCTCTCTCTCTCTTTCTCTTTCTCTTTCTCTCTCTGCTCCCCTCCCTCTCTCCCTCTCTTTCCAGTGAAATGAAAATTTAAAAAATTTGGGGCCGATGCTGTGGTGCAGTGGGTTAATGCCCTGGCCTGAAGCACCGGCATCCCATATGGGCGCCAGTTTGAGACCCGACTGCTCCACTTCCAGTCCAGCTCTCTGCTATGGTCTGGGAAAGCAGTAGAAGATGGCTCAAGTCCTTGGGCCCCTGCACCCACAAGAGAGACCCGGAAGAAGCTCCTGGCTCCTGGCGCAAATCTAGCCATTGGGGCCAACTGGAGAGTGAACCAGCAGATGGAAAACCTCTCTCTCTGTGTAACTCTTTCTCCCTCTGTGTAACTCTGACTTTCAAATAAATAAATCTTTAAAAAATAAGTACTATTAAGTATTTATAAATATTTATAAATTGCTTTTTACTTCACATTTTGAGGAATGGGACATCGGAATTTTTTCCTCTGAAAGTTTTACTTCTAACTTTTTTACAACTATCTTTGTTTTTTTTTTTTTTTTTTTTTTTGTGGTGACAGCCTTTGGAGCCATCATTTGGAAGTTTGTTTACCCTCAAATTACATAAGCACTGATCTATACATTCTTTCAACACTGCTTTAATAATACAAAATGTTTTATCATCCTTTCTGGAAATGTTTTATACACACACATATTTATACATTCAGAGAGAGACACAAGAATACTGCAAAATGTGAGGAAATGGCATTAAAAGGGGAGTTTATTCTTGGGGCCCACGCAGTGGCATAGCAGGTAATGCCGCCGCCTACAATGTGGACACCCCAAACAGGCGCTGGTTCCCAGCTGCAGCAGTTGCCATGTAGCTCCCTGCTAAGGCGCCAGGGAAACAGTGGAAGACCGCCCCAGTGCTTAGCTCCCTGCCACCCGTGTGGAAGACCTGGAAGAAGCTCCTGGCCCCTGCCCTCAGCCTGGCCCAGCCCCCACTGTTGCAGCCACTTGGGGAGTGAAGCACCAAATGGAAGTGCTCTTGTGCTCTCTCGGTATCTCCTTGTCTTTCAAACAAATAAAACAAGTATTTTTAAAAAATAAAAAAAAAACAGTAAGTTTATTCTAGTGCAAAAAAACTCAAGTCCACACAAAGGTTTTTAAGATTTATAGATCTGAAAGACAGAATTACACAGGGGAAGAGAGTGAGGTCTTCCATCCCCTGGTTCACTCCCCAGGTGGCTTCCACATCTGGGACTGGATCAAGGAGGAAGCCAGGAGTCTGGAATCCCATCTGTTGCTTGACAAGATTAAGGGAGGGTACTTGGAAATGTTCACAGCAAAATAGATTTTAAAAATAATTTATTTCAGTGCAAAAAGTGTTTGAAATTCAGGCATATTTTCACAACACGTGTTACAAATGCACTGTTTGGAGGCTTTTGTATCTATTGACTCCCCTAGTTCTTACAACTTTAGGATGGTGGTACTGGTCTTATCATCCACAATTTACAGATTAAGACCTGGTAGCTGGGTGGGTAGGCATCTGGCTCAAGGTCACACTGGCTCCTCCGTAGTGGGGATGGAAGGCAGGATCCAGAATTCAGAGCGTGGTTACAGAATGC